TAGCCAGGATGGTCTCGATCTCCTGACCTCGTGATCCGCCCGTCTCGGCCTCCCAAAGTGCTGGGATTACAGGCTTGAGCCACCGCGCCCGGCCGATCTGACAGTTTTATAAGGGGCCTTTCCCCCTTTTGCTCAGCACTTCTCCTTGCTGCCGACATGTGAAGAAGGACATGTTTGCTTCCCCTTCCACCCATGACTGTAAGTATCCTGAGGCCTCCCAGCCATAGTGAAGTGTGAGTCAATTAAGCCTCTTTCCTTTATAAATTACCCAGTTTTGGGTATGTCTTTGTTAGCAGCGTGAGAACGAACTAATACAGATGTTAAATGTAATGCCCATTGTAATCATAAACAAAATAGCTGTAGAATATACACGGAAGAAAATGAGAAGAAATTCAAACATTTTGCTATTAAAAAAAATAACCAAACACACACAAAAAAGCTTGTAATGCAGGAAATGAGGTCTAGAAAAGCTATGAAGCATATAGAGGACAAATAGCAAAATAACAGCAGTACATCTCTCCTTATGCACTGAGAAGACAACACCCCTGGATATTCTTGCCACAAATGCACAACTTGAATCTGCTCGCAAGGAAACATCAGATAACCCACACAGAAGGACATTCTGCAAGTCAAGACCACAAAAAACAAAGGCACTAAAAGATGACAACTAAATGCATCCTGTGATCTTGGATTGGCTGCTGGACTGGGGGAAAAGCATGTATCAAATTATAGTATTGTATTGCTGGTGAGTTTCCAGATTCTGATAACTACCAAAGTGACTATGTAAGAGAACGACCATTTTGGAAATATACACTGAAGTACTCAGGGGTGCAGAGGTGGGGTGTTTCTAACATAACCTCACATGATTCAAATCATCATTATTATTGGATTCTGTATTTATGGGTTCACCTCTAGCTAAATTTATTTGTAACAAAATCAATACTTGGGACCTTCTGTGGGCATTTGAAAGCCAGTGCATACACAGAGTGGTGAAAAATTGGTGTCTCCAGAGACTAAAGTCACCTGCTGAGGTGAAGCAGTCAGCCCTCATCTCCCTGTTTCAGCTCTCCGACCCGTAAACAAGTGTCCTTTTCACAGTCTATTTAGTGTCATGTTTTTCACAGTTTTGTGCTTGTTGGTGATTTCACCATTTAAAATGGCCCCCTGCAGTGCTGAGGCTGTCTAGTGTTCCCACGATCAAGAAGGCTACATGTGCCTTTGGGAGAAAATATCCACGTTAGATAAGTTTCATTCAGGCATGAGTTTTAGCACTCATTGACCCCTATGGCCACATGGGGTCAATGTCAGTGGATCAACAATATGTATTAAATAAGGTGTATTTAGGCCGGGCACAGGGGCTCACACCTGTAATCCCAGCACTCTGGGAGGCTGAGGCAGGTGGATCACCTGAGGTCGGGAGTTTAAGATCAGCCTGGCCAACATAGTGAATGAAACTTTGTCTCTACTAAAAATACAAAAATTAGCTGGGTGGTTTTTTTTTTTTTTTTTTTTTTTTTTGCACGCACCTGTAATCCCAGCTACTCAGGAGGCTGAGGCAAGACAATCACTTGAACCCAGGAGATGGGGGTTGCAGTGATCAAGATGGTGCCACTGCACTCCAGCCTGGGCGACAGAGTGACTGTGTCTCAAAAAATAATAATAATAAAAATCACTTCTGTCCAGAATGGAACCCAAGATGGCTGCGCTCTTGCTGAGACATGTTGGTCGTCATTGCCTCCGAGCCCACTTTAGCCCTCAGCTCTGTATCAGAAAAGGTGTGGGGCAGTGGCAGCCAGATGTGGAATGGGCACAGCAGTTTGGGGGAGCTGCTATGTACCCAAGCAAAGAAACAGCCCACTGGAAGCCTCCACCTTGGAGTGATGTGAACCCTCCAAAGGACACAATGGTGAAGAACATGACCCTGAACTTTGGGCCCCAACACCCAGTAGCACATGGTGTCCTGCGACTAGTGATGGAATTGAGTGGGGAGATGGTGCAGAAGTGTGATCCTCACATTGGGCTCCTGCACCGAGGCACTGAGAAGCTCATTGAATACAAGACCTATCTTCAGGCCCCTCCACACTTTGACCGGCTAGACTATGTGTCCATGATGTGTAATGGACAGGCCTATTCTCTAGCTGTGGAGAAGTTGCTAAACATCCGGCCTCCTCCCCGGGCACAGTGGATCCGAGTGCTGTTTGGAGAAATCACACGGCTGTTGAACCACATCATGGCTATGACCACACGTGCCCTGGATCTTGGGGCCATGACCCCTTTCTTCTGGCTGTTTGAAGAAAGGGAGAAGATGTTTGAGTTCTACGAGCGAGTGTCTGGAGCCTGAATGCATGCTGCTTGGGCTTATGGATGACATTTATGAGTTTTCTAAGAACTTCTCTCTTTGGCTTGATGAGTTGGAGGAGATGCTGACCAACAATAGGATCTGGCGAAATTGGACAATTGACATTGGGGTTGTAACAGCAGAAGAAGCACTTAACTATGGTTTTAGTGGAGTGATGCTTCGGGGCTCAGGCATCCAGTGGGACCAGAAGACCCAGCCCTATGACGTTTACAACCAGGTTGACTTTGATGTTCCTGTTGGTTCTCGAGGGGACTGCTATGATAGGTACCTGTGCCGGGTGGAGGAGATGCGCCAGTCCCTGAGAATTATCGCTTGGGAGCAGAGTTGTACCAGAAATAACCCCTGTGGAGGCTGAGGGCATGGTTGGTAGAGACAAAAAAGTGGTGAATCGGGCACACCCCATGAAAGGCGTCTAGTCCAACCCACTGTACATTCAGCCCCTCCACAGGGATGCTGAGTGTTGATGGAGATGGTCTTACGGTGGTGCAGATGGTTCCAGAAGCTCACAGTCCACCAGGCCCCTGACCCCCAACCCTTTGGGAAGGGTGTCTCCATTTTCCTAGGCTGCTGCCTGCTTCTCCATCGAGGCCTTCTCCACTCTCCTCAAGTTGTTCATCTCTTCAGCCACCCTCACCCTCAGTGATAACCTCACCTCCCTCCTCACAGAGAAACCAGATGCAATCAGAAAGCAAATTCCTCGTCCTCCTGCAGCCCACCTCCAGAAGTGTTCATGTTTACCCCACAAGTAACACCATCACCCCTTCTGCCTAATGCAGCTCTCCCTCTGAAGGTCCAACGCCATCAGCCTCCTAGGCCTCCTGGGGACCCTGCTCCTCCCTGCACACTCTCATTTATTTTCAGCCTCTTCATCTCCACTGGGCCCATCTTGGTTGGAGTTCCCTCAAAAGCAGACCCTGAAACAAGGGTTTGGGGACAAGCAGGTATTCCAGGAAGTGAGGAACTAGGCAGGGGAGGAGAAAGTTCCAGAAAGTGCTTTAACAAGTAGGTCTCACCACTGGGGGTGAGTAGGGCTCTCTCCTGCCAGTGACCGCCTGAGGAACCACGTGGAACTCACCCAGGAGTCGTCCACAGGGATGAAGTTGATGGGTTATCTGTCCGCTGCCCACAGCATCACCTCCTGAGCATGGCTGGGTTGTGCCTGCTCCCTTGTGGCCAGAGAAGGTCCCCGGGCAGGAAAGAGAGTGGCCATCCTGGGTGTGGAGAAGCAGATCCAAGCAGTAAAGGGGAGGGCTGTGGCAGATGTTCTGCTGCACCAGTCGCATTTCCCCTTAGGAATGGGAGGCCCATTTGCCAGCTGCTGTGATGCCATTGGCAGGCAGGCCCCTTCAGGGATGGCCTCAGCTGATGCGGGCTGCCCACCCCAGGACACGCTCCCTTCCCAAGATGGGCTGCATCTAAGGAGAGATGGGCATGGAAGTGCAAGAGCTACCTCATCTTCCGAGCTCCCCGTGGGGGCTGGCATCCCAGGTCAGCTTCTCCCTCAGCCCAATCCTGCTTGCCTCCATTCCATTCTCTTCCAAAGGCGTTGATCCCAAGAGCAGCCTCTAACCAACTTCCTGCGTGTTCTCTGCCTCAGAATCAGCCTCCTGGGAACCCAGCCTGAAACAATCACTCTGGAGAAATGCTGTACTATCAACATTCATGATGGCAGAAAGAGCATGGATTGAAAAATTATGGATGTCAATGACTGAGTTGAGACGGGTTCAGAAGAGTAGGGCTCTAAATGTAAAGAAGTTTAACAGTAGTTTTTCTGCTTTATTGCAGATATTGACAACACCCATCCACTTCCCTTCAGCCCCACCGCTCCATGCCCCCAACCCTTCCAGCTGTAAGCACCTGTGCCTTAACTCGAGGGCACTCCCTGGCTGCACAAGCCTGCAATCCCAGGGAGCTTCCCTGATCCCATGACTGGCAGAAGTGGTGGATCAATACCCCAGCTCTCTTACCTCAGTTGGAGAACACTGAAGCACATCCTCACAGTTGCCTGGAGGGTCCCAGCAGAATTGAGCCATAGTTGCCTGCAGAAGTGACCAGATTATGAATGCACCCTTCCTTATGGCTTCCTCCCCCTCTCCATCTCACCTGGTCCTCAACTGGTGTTTCCTGGGATCACTCCCCAAATAAAGGACTCATTCTCAAATCATATTCTCAGGGTCTGCTTCTAGGGGACCCAGGCTGAGACAGCTGGTATCAGATATGGGCCTAGGAAGTAGCCCCTCAAGAAGGGCTCATTTGCCAACCAGAGGGTCACCGGGTGCCCACTGCTGAGGAGCAAGGTGGTGATCACCCTGGCCCACTGTAGCGTCACAATGCTAAGATGTTCACGTGTTGAGGAGGTGCACAGGTGGGAAGGGTGCACAGGCCTGAGCTACTCCCGCACCTGAGTGGCATGGAGGCAACAGTAGCCACCAGGATGGTGGAGAGGATGGTGGTAGTGAGCTGATGGCAAAGACTGAACCTCAGACTCAGCAGTCGACTCTTTTTTTTTTTTTTTTTTTTGAGATGGAGTCTTGCTCTGTCGCCCAGGCTGGAGTGCAGTGGCGCAATCTTGGCTCACTGCAAGCTCCGCCTCCCGGGTTCACGCCATTCTCCTGCCTCAGCCTCCCAAGTAGCTGGGACTACAGGCGCCCGCCACCGCACCCGGCTAATTTTTTGTATTTTTAGTAGAGACGGGGTTTCACCGTGTTAGCCAGGATGGTCTTGATCTCCTGACCTCGTGATCCTCCCCTCTCGGCCTCCCAAAGTGCTGGGATTACAGGCGTGAGCCACCGCGCCCGGCCAACCGACTCTTAACTCACAGAAGAATGCAATGGCCAGAAAACTCCCAGGATGGCATTTAAAATCTGGTCGGGCTTGGTGGCTCACGCCTGTAATCCCAGCACTTTGGGAGACCAAGGTGGGCAGATCACCTGAGGCTAGGAGTTCGAGACCAGCCTGGCCAATGTGGCAGAACCTCACCTCCACATTAACCCCACCTCCACAAAAACACATTTTTGTATTTGTAAAAATACAATAATATCTTGAATGTGGCGGGGCAGAGGTTGCAGTGAGCTGAGGTCACACCACTGTACTCCAGCCTGGCCAACAGAGTGAGACTCCATCCCCCAAAAGAGTAAAATAAAAGGACCCCATCTTCTGCAACAAGAGGACAGAATATGCTAAAAATTGAGGTCTCAGATGGGATTCTAAGAGTGTCCTCCTGCAAAGGAGGTTGGAGTCACAGCCCTGGCAGCTTGTGCAGCACCGTGGGAGGGACTCTCACACCTCAGCCACACAACAGAGGAGTCAGCGCACTAGCTCTGCCACTAAGGCTGTGTGGCCCTGGGTAAGTCACTCTGAGCCTCAGTTTCCCCATCTGTAAACGCAGATCACAATGTTCAGTATCAGAGCCTTGCCCAGTGCGTGGTACATGGTGGAAACTCAGTGAACTGGCTGCTGTTTTTGTTGTTGTTGTTGTTTTTTGTTTTTAACTGTGGGAAAATTCACATAATGTAAAATTTGTCATCTCAGTCTTTTTTTTTTTTTTTTTTGAGATGGAGTGTCACTTTGTTGCCCAGGCTAGAGTGCAGTGGTGTGATCTCGGCTCACTGCAACCTCCACCTGCCCCAGGTTCAAGCAATTCTCCTGCCTCAGACTCCCGACTAGCTGAGACTACAGGCGCCCGCCACCGTGCCCAGCTAATTTTTGTATTTTTAGTAGAGACAAGGGTTTCACCATGTTGGCCAGGCTGGTCTAGAACTCCTAACCTTAAGTGATCCACCCATCTCTGCCTCCCAAAGTGTTGGGATTACAGGCGTGAGCCACCGTGCCTGACCTCAATCATTTTTAAGGGTACTGTTCAGTGGTATTAAGTACATTCACATAGCTGAGGTACAGTCATCATTATTTTATCCACAGAACTCTTTTCATCTTACAAAATTGAAACTCTGTCTCCATTAAACAACTCTCCATTTCCTTCTCCCCAGGCCGTGGCACCCACCATTCTACTTTCTGTTTCTGTGAATACGACTACCCTACATACCTCACGTAGGTGCAATCACACGGTTTCGTGCTCTGTGTCTGGCTCATTTCACTCAGCCAAAAGTCCTCAAGATGCATCCATATTGTAGCACATGTTGGAATTTCCTTCCTTTTTAAGGCTGAATACTCTTCCATGCTTTGGGTGTATCGTATTTTTTTACCCCCATCCACTGATGGGCACTTGGGTTGTGTGTACCTTTTGGCTACTGTGAAAAACAATACGAACATGGGTGTGTGGTGGTGTTATTTTTCTTTTTTTCTTTTCTTTTTCTTTTCTTTCTTTCTTTTTTTTTTTTTTTTTTTTTGAGACAGTTCTGCTCTTGTTGCCCAGGCTGGAGTGCAGTGGCACGATCTCGGTTCACCACAACCTCCGCCTCCTGAGTTCAAGTGATTCTCCTGCCTCAGCCTCCCGAGTAGCTGGGATTCCAGGCATGCGTCACCATGTCCTGCTAATTTTTGTATTTTTAGTAGAGATGGGGTTTCACCATATTAGTTAGTCAGGCTGGTCACCAACTCCTGACCTCAGGTGATCCACCCGCCTTGGTCTCCCAAAGTGCTGGGATTACAAGCGTGAGCCACCTTACCTGGCCTGTCATTTTTATTAAGAAATTTGTTTGCAGAATGCAGGTCTGAACCAAGCCCTAGTCCCTCTCCTACCAGAGTACCTTTGCCTTTAAGTTATATTTTATCACTGGAAACTCTGTTCCCAGAAGGAATAAGAAGGAAACACAAGAGGCAGAAGGTGCAACAGGGGCCAGGGGCCAGGTACCTCTGCCTCTCCTGCCCCCAGCAGCAACTGGTCCCCACAGAAAGGGCCTGGTTTCGAGAGTCAAAGGAGCCCTGATGGGGTGGCCACAATCACTGTGTTTTTCCAGCATGGGCCCCGCGTCTGGTGCTTCCCCTGCCTAACCCCCGGCAGCCTGTTTAGATTTGGAAATTTAAGTCTTGTCTTTCTCTTCTTTGCTGTAATTAATTGTTCTCACTACCAGGGAGGGCTTAAAAATTAAACTCTACTCTCTCCCCTCTCCCTTTCTGCTGTAGACTGAATGTTTGTGCCCTCCCCTCTCCAAATTCATGTTGAAGGCCCAGTGTTCTATTTGGGCCCTCAGTGGGTTGGATGAGGCCCCCCACACTGGGAGGACGGGCATCTGCTTGACTCAGTCCACCCGATTCAAAGGCTAATCTCTTCTGGAGACACCCTCACAGACATGCCCAGAAATCGTGTTTACACAGCGATCTGGGTGTCCCATGGCCCAGTCAAGTTGACACCCATTGACCATCCTATGGAGAGAAAGCCTAAGTCCCTCAGTTCCC